ACAGCCCTGCAGAGAAGACCCTGTGCTCTCCTCAAGCCTTTCCCAGGTGAGGTGAGGCTCTTACAGGGAAGGTGGGCATTCCTGGTGTCTTGCCTGAGAAGCTCTTGTGCTCCTTCACGTTTCTCCAGCGGTTCCTCCTCTTGGGGCAGCTCTGAGGCTCTCTGACTGTAGCAGTTTCCAGTTGTTGCTATGGAGGCACGGAGAGAGGAAGGACGCAGAGCTCTTGGGCAGGAGCCAGAGGTGCTCAGGGGTTCATGCAGAAGCTGCCACTAAGCTGTTCCGGCTCAGAAACAAGCAGGAGCCCGGGGGGTTTCTTGAGGTCAGTTCCGTCAAGAGGAGCCAACTGGGTTAGATGCGAGCTCAGTCGTGCCTCTGCTTCATTGTGAGAAAGAAACTGCAGCCCCTTCCTGCTTCTGCTGAACTCCTCTGTGGGTGCCCAGTTTCCTTTCTTCTTAGCTTGGCCTGCTGGAGAGGTTAGATCCGGGCCCTGGGGCGAGCAGGTGGGTGATGGCTGGTGCCATTCCATCCCCTCTGGTGATGTGGCCAGCTCATGTCCGTGTCTTGGCAAGGCATCTGCCTCTGCAGAACTGGATGTGCAGCTGCAGGGGCCTGGGGCTGTGCTGCACACTGAGCCCTTTGGCTAAAGGGCTGTGGAGTGGCACACCTAAAGCTTCCTCGGCCCTCCTCACCCAGAGCCAGACTGCACTGCCTTGCATTTCCCTGGTGTCGTATCAGGGATCTCCATGGACAAGCGCCCCTGGCCAGTGGGCCTCCTGTCATCCCTTCTGCCCAGCCTGGGGCAGGAGCGAGCCTCAACTTCTGTGTGTCAGAGTCTTCCCAAGCCAAAATCTAGCCCCAGCTACCACAACCCTATCCTGGGCCAGGAGAAGAGGTCCCATTTTCTTGTGTGAAAGAGGAACCTCAGCCTTTACCATCTTGTGGTGTTCGCAGCATCCTTGCTGATGCTCCCTCTGCTGCTGTTTGTGTTGGCACCGTCGTGTGCTGGGTTTGGCACGCCGTGCTCCCAGCCGTGGGCTGGTTAAGGAGCAGTGGATTCCCAGAGTTGGGAGGTCGGTGGTTACTCACAAGTCTTTGAGGCTGTTTGGGTCACTGCTGCTTTGTTAGAACAGAAAGGAGTGTGACATGGGGTGTGAGGAAGGACCCCTGCAGTGCCAGATCTGCACCACAGGGATGCAATGGAGACCACACCAGCTGCCACACCATCAGCACAGCCCTACGGGGCTGTGGCACCGAGCTGACCTCTCAGGCTCCCTCTCTTCCAGCTGCCTTGCTAAACCAAGGCCTCATCTCTACCCTGGGTGAGCTTTGTTTCCATCAGCCCCCAGCTCACCTCTCTGTCCCTTCTCTCCCGCAGGAAGCGCCAGCTCTCGCCGCAGTCCAAGAGCTCCAGCAAAGTAACGAGCATCCCAGGCAAAGCAACAGAGCCCGGCCCTGCAGGTGCCAAGGGGGGCAAATCCAGCACGCTGTCGCGGCGTGAGGAGCTCCTCAAACAGCTCAAAGCAGTGGAAGATGCCATCGCTCGCAAGCGAGCCAAAATCCCTGGGAAAGTATAATGCTGCCCTGCAGTGACTGTTCACGTTTTTATAAATAGCAGCAAAGCGGCCACTTTTGGGATTTTGCAGTTCTGTCTTTGATTTTTTTTTTTTTGGCTGCGGTTCTTTTAAAAAAAAAAAAAGAAAAAAAAGAGAAAAAAAAAGAGGAAAAAAACACACACAAAATAAAGAAATAAAGATGGATGTGGGTCAGCGCTGTGACGCCCTGTGGCTCCCTGTGGGGCAGGGCAGCCCGTGCTGGCGCCAGGATGGGGGTCACCCCCCCCCCCCGCCCCTTTGCCTTCGTTGTTTTATTTTCCATGTAAATTATGCACAGAGGACTCCAGCCCCGTGGGATGCTCTCACTGCTTCCCCCTCTTCCTCTCTCCGCCCTCTCCTCTTTGCTAAGCCTCCAGTTGTATCCTAGTTAGCCCTGCTGTGTGTTGAGTGTCATCAGCCATGCAGTTCTCTATACTGTGTAACGAGAGAGCCGAAAACTGCTGTGAACTACTGGCGACATCCTGCCCCCCTCCCCCCCACCAGGAACAAAAATATATATATATTCTTGACTCTAAAAGTCCCCATTGGGAAAGCGACCTGTCTTTTTATTTGAAGCCTCGGCTGCTTTTGAGTTGAGCGGAAAGGAGCCCCGAAGGCCTTTTGTGGGATGTCTGTTCTCCTTTTCTCCTATTGGGTTTGGTTGGTTGTTTTTTTTTTTTTTTGGTTGTTTTTTTTTTTGTTGTTTTTTTTTGAGGGATCTTCCCATGAAATAAAGTATTTTGATAACCAGTTCCTCCTCTCTCTGTCACCTCAGCCATCCCCTGCTTTTCAGCCCCCTATAAGCAGCCCTATGGGGCTGGGGGGGGCGTTGGTTGGCCCTCCCCATTACCCGAGCCCCTTTACCCCCCAAAAGCTCCCACCTCAGCCCTTTCCAAGGTTGCCCAATTCGGGATTTCTGCTCCAGGTTCACAGCAGCCCCGGAACGTGACGGTGATATCACCGCTCAGCTTGCGCAACGGAGCGGCGCAGTGACAGCTCCGGGGATCGTCCCGTCCTCGGCACGGCAGCTTGGCTTCCCTAAGGGGGTCAGCGTGCCGGTGGGCTTCACCCGGCGACCCCATTCGTATTCCCAGCCACCATCACCCCGGCTTCTTTAGTCTGTGACCCCAAAAACCCCACGGCCGTCCTACCGAAGCCCTATTTGCCCGTTTCCCCCTCCCGGCACACGCACAGCGGGCCGAGGCCGCCTGCTTTCCCAGCTCCCCTCCTCGCAGGGCTGGGACACGCCGGGAGAAGGAAGTGCCGCGGCTGTTGGGAGGAGGAAGGCAGCCCGAGCTGGAGTTTCCAGGTGTGTGTACATCACCTGCACTAACCCTATATAAAGGCGGGGACGGCGGCGGCGCTGCCACTCGGGGCCGCGGCAGGTTGCAGCTCCGAGCAGCCCGACGACGTCCTGCAGCCCATGGTAACGCTGGGGGGCAGCCGGGGGGGGGGGGGGGGGGGAGGGGGGGGGGAGTGTGAACGGGGTGGTGCGTGCATGGCAGGAGCTGTGTGCACAGTGCTGCGGTGGGGGGGGGGTTGTGTGTGTGTAGGGGTGGAGGGTATGGATAGATTGGGGGGGGGTGAGATGTGTGGGTATAGAGGTGTGTGTGTGTGCAGTGTGCTGTGGGTGTGTGGGTAGGGGGGTGTTGTGGGTGCATGCGTGTGTGTGTATGGTGTGTGTGTGTATGGATGTGCTCTGTGTGCTGAGATGTGTGTGTATGGTGTGTGTATGTATGGATGTGCTCTGTGTGCTGAGATGTGTGTATGGTGTGTGTGTGTACAGGTGTGTGAGTACAGGTGTGTGTGTATGGATGTGCTCTGTGTATGGTGTGTGTGTGTGTGGATGTGTTCTGTGTGCTGAGATGTGTGTATGGTGTGTGTGTGTATGGATGTGCTCTGTGTGCATAGATGTGTGTGTATGGTGTGTGTGTGTGCACAGGTGTGTGTGTATGGATGTGCTCTGTGTGCTGTGTGTGTATGGCGTGTGTGTATAGATGTGTTCTGTGTGCATACATGTGTGTGTATGGTGTGTGTGTGTACAGATGTGTGCTGTATGGTGTAGAGATGTGTGTATAGATGAGTTCTGTGTGCTGAGATGTGTGTACATGGATGTTCTCTGTGTGCCTATATGTGTGTATGGTGTGTGTGTGTGTATAGATGTGTGAGGTGTGTGTATAGAGAGGTGTGTGTGCAGCTGTGTTTGTGTGTCCGTGGGTATGGATGTGTGTGTATGGATGTGTTCTGTGTGCATACATGTGTGTGTATGGTGTGTGTGTATAGATGTGTTCTGTGTGCTGAGGTGTGTGTGTATGGTGTGTGTGTATAGATGTGCTCTGTGTGTATAGATGTGTGTGGATGGTGTGTGTGTGTATAGATGTGTGAGGTGTATGTATAGAGAGGTGTGTGTGCAGCTGTGTTTGTGTGTGTGGGTATGGATGTGTGTGTATAGACAGGTGTGTGCATAGATGTGTGTGTACAGATGTG